CTTTTAAGCTTCCTCCAGAATATAAAGGAAAAATATTTCTATAAGGTTGAAATTCATGAAAGGTAATTTTTTATATTCATAAAATACAGTTTACTTTATCATTTTAAAAATATCTCCAAAGAGATTATCATCTCTTTTACTGTTATTCTTCAATGTTCTATTTTGGTTGAATATTGATTTTAACTAATTTTATAGGGCTGTCTTTCAGAAAAATAAATATAAACTAAAATATACAAGAAATTTGAATTAGAAAATCTAAGGTAATTGTTTTACTGGCCTTTCCACTTTCCTGCCTGATTTTGGCAGTAAACATATGGGGTCTCAATTTTATCATAACTTTATAGTATTTTGTTGAAATAGCTACTTATAAATGTATTTCTGTTTCTCATAGGTGAATGAATGAGGCTTAGGATTCCTGAGCAGGCTTGACATCCCCTAAACCATGCACTTTGCTTATGTATGATATAAGGCCCTGGGATAAGTAGTTCTTTCATGGAAGACAGCAGGGCTTCTGTCTTATGATGCCAGTAGACTTCCCAACAAGACAGCTCTGCTCATGGATGCCAGGTGTGAACTGTTAGGGGTGAAGCAGATGATTTGTCTGAAACTTAACCCTAGCCAGGGCTAGGGCTTTCTTTTTGAAGATTGGAGTCCGTAAGTATTGCTCACTAAGGCACCGAACCAAAAGGTGAGCAGTGAAAACCACAATCTGTAAGAATATGCGTCTTGTTTTCTAAGAGAATAAGATTAATAGAATTTCAGTAACCCTGCACTTAGGAGACTTATTAAATTGGCCCAGAATCAAGATTAATTAAGCAGCTTCCAACAGTTCATGGTATGCTTTCTTCCTGTCCTGTCATCTAAGTATAGCTCTGCTCCATATGATTTTCAAAACCCTGTATACTGAATTTTAATCATCCACATACATAAGCTCTTTGGTGGGTAGGATGGCCAGTCATAAATGCTGTAGACTAAAACAAATGGACACATAAAGCTTATCTGTGAGCATTTGACAAGTATATAAATATTCTTGTCACTCTCAATACCTTGGCCATTACAGTTGGAGAGTCTCTGCTTTATTGGAAAAGTCAGCTCTAAGACTGGTTATTATTTTACTAATATTTTGTTGGTAATATGCCACTTTGTAAAGCTCTCTTCATGAGTTCCAGAAAACATTTGGCTCCCAACAATACAAAGGATCATTGCAAGCATTTTCGGTCAGTTTTGATTAAATGCAGATTGCAGGATTGTTTTGCTCAACCACATTATTCTTTCAAATGTTTCCCCAGTAGTTGCATATTACTTTCTAATGATGATCATTTGCATTTCCAGAGCCTCTTTGCGCCTGATGTTTTACAGTGAATTTACTCAGCATTCATCTGTCTTCACCATGCTTCTCTCTGGATTGAGAGAGGCCTGTAGCTCCTGGTCTTTCACATGGCCACCTTACTCAATGGCGGCACAGGATGAGTAGGAAGAAACCTGTGAGTAGGATGAGTAGAAAACCATCCAGCTTAGACTCTACAGAGGGTGATGTGCAAAACAGAACATTTCCCATACTTGCAGGAAAAAAATTAAAAAATTCTAAGAGCATGCTATGAATTTTATATCATCACCATTTTAAAACATTTGTTTTAATATGAACGTTATGGTTCTTAGACGTCTAATATAGTGCAAAAGGTAAACTGAAGGTTAGGCAATTCATTTGGATGTTTGGGCCTAACCAGCTCCCAGTTTTTCTTTTGTCGTCTGCCACCTTCGCCCCCACATACTCCCCCCCTCCCTCCGCTTCTGGTGGTCCAGGGCGCGCCGCAGATGTTGCTCCCACACAGTGGAAACATTCCCTGATGTGTCTGCGCACTTCCAGGCTCTGCTCATATGGGAACAGGAGAAATTGGAGAGAAGGAATGAATTTCCGAACTGGTCTTATTTCCTTTGGTGCCTTTCAAAAGTGCTGAAATAGAGAAGAAAATTAATTTAGATCTATTCACCTTTCCCACACTGCTAGCCATAGAAGTGGTTGATTAAGTGATTTTCTTTTTAATTAAAAATGTAAATAAAGAAATAAAGAAACCTTGTTATGCACTCTTCTAGAATTCTCAAGGTAGCTATTCTAGGATGGGAAAAATTTACAGAATTGTGTTTAAATTTAATTGTTTTTGAAATAAAAGTAGTTATAAATGCTTCACTTGCATAGAAAATTAGAGTATCTGTGGGGGTTTTTTCTACATAAAGCTTAAACTTTGCATCCTGTAATTTTCAAATAATTTTCATTTAGTGGTATTCTTCCTTATTTGAACATTAGAAAATGTGTCCAGCATGCTGAAAAAACATGACTTAGAGATAACAAAAGGAGACAACTGTTTTCATCTCCTTCATTCCCCCTCCATCCTCTCTGTACAGCTATTTCATTGCCTTTGGATGACATCTAGAGCAGTGTCTGTATTTTACCTCATTACGCTTTGATAATAAAACTCCTTTAGTTATCTTAGTTATAAAAATATTCGTGGTTGGGAAATTAATATGCCAATGTCTACGTTTGCAAAACAAACTTCATTAAGGTTAGAGTTTCTCCCTCTTTAGTGCTGCCTGCTCCCCCACTCCCACCCCATTGCCATTACTGCGGGTGGGAAGTGTGCAGGGAATAATGTGTATGAGAGAGAGACAGAGAGAGAGAGAGAGAGAGAGAGAGAGAGAGTTGTGTACTGGGGGTTTGTTTTGTTCTTGGCTTCTCTTTACTTTGTCACATCTTCTATCTCTCCTGAATATCACAGCTCAATCATAATGGGAGCAGATGGGAGAAGAGTCAAGAAAGGGCTTTCCTGGTTACCACTGATTTCATGCAGTTTTCTCCTTGCCCTGGTGGTATTTAAAGCTAATTACCCATTTGCATCTCTCGGGTAAATTCTTGACAAAAATAATTCCTCCCCAGATGCTGCTTCTGGCTCTACCCTCACACCAGCATTGTACATACCCAGCATCTCTCAACTGACATTTTGTCTCCCCAGGTGTCTTGTGACAGCTGTCACATCTACTGCTCCTTTTTCTGACAAACTTGTGGAGGAGACCTTGTACCATGAGCACAGTTACTTCCCAAATGCAGCCAATGTGTCTTGGCTAGACAAGAGTCCACTGAGGCAATACACAAACTTCAGAGGATGCCTAGTGAGCTCCTTACTGGACTCTCTGCAGCCCCAAAGACCAGGCATAGGGAAGGGGGGAAGAAGAGCCACCTCCTTTCCCCCTGTGGAGGAAGGGACAGATGGGACTTCACATCCTCAAGCTCTTGCAGAAATTCTACCTTTCATCCTCATCTTCTAAACTCACAGAAATTCTTCAGCTTTTGCATGAGGGATCAAGGATCTTAGCACTCAATTTAGACAATATAAGTCACTCATGGTTTTCTATAATCTCACTTTTGCATTTAGGATTAGTTGGCAACTATTGTCTTAGAATTCAGTGAGAACTGAAATAAAAGAGTTTCAGTTTTTCCTTGGGTTATAAATAGAGTCTTAAATAACTAGGGAGTTCATTACTATTTATTGAGCACCTGTCATGTACCAGCCATTATTTGAGGAGCTGTAAGACAACAGCAATAAATTCTTGATCTTATAGACTCTTAGTGAAGAAAACAGAAAGTAAACGAGAAAAATAAGTATATCTAAAGCATGTTAGGTAAGTAACAGAGAGAAAAAATAACTTCTTTGGGGACGTCTGTGTGTATGAAATTATAGTGAGAGAAAATTCAATGAGAAGGTGACATTTGTTTAAAGACTTGCTGAGATAAGGAAAGAACAGAAACACAGTTTTCAACAAGTGAAGAATGCCTTTTAACTGTTAATAGCTATTGGGGATAAAAATATCAGATTTTGGAACCAGAATGCCTAGGTTCACATCTTGGCAGTCCCATTACTGATTGTACAACTTTCAGTAAATTGCTTAAGCTGTCATTCGGTTTTCTTAGCTGAAAAATGAGGATATTACTATCTACCTCATAAAGTTGTTATGAGGATTAAATGAGTTAATACATGTACAAAACTAAGAACAATGCCTGGCACATAGTAAATACTATGTTAAGATTTTTTGGCTATTACTATTATTAAAGAGGTAAAATCAATAAGGATACAAGTACGTAACTAAAGAGAGAGTTATGTGCTGACAACACGCATTTGGTGGTTTCAACCTACAGGTGAGGTTAGTACTATGAGACTGAATGATCACACCTAAGCAGTCAGTGTAAACAATTAAGAAATGACTATTTAATGATTGAGTTCTAAATCTTGTGCACTGAAAGAATCAGAAGATGTGGAGGTACGAAAAACCCAGCAAGAGGGGCCCATGAGTTCAGAGAAAAAGCAGATGAGTATAGTGTCATGTGAACCAAAGGAAGAAATTATTTCAAGGGGGACAGTGAGGCAACGATTTCAAATGCTGCTGAAAATACAAGTAAAATAATGGCCGTGATTTGGCCAATGAACTAAACATGACATTGTGCTGACTTTGATAAGAGCAATTTCAGTGGAACAGTGAGGAAGAAAGCATGACTACTACGTGTCCAAGGGAGAATGTGCAGAGAGAAATTAGAAACAATGATTATAGATAAGTCTTTGAAGGACATTTGAGGTAAAGTGATGGAGATAAACAGGGCTAGATGGAAGCAGAGAATGGATGAAGAAACAGTTTTCTTTAAAGTTGGTGGGAAATAGTAGCATATTTTGTATGTTAACCAGAATGATGCAGCAGATAGAGAAAAACTGAAGATTACTGAAGCTATATTCAAGTAGGCTAGGGTAGAGGGGAGCTGGGACAGAAGTACAGAACATAGCCGTATTTAAGACTATGACCAGTTCATTAATAGGAACAGGTTTGGTTGGTGGTATTATGCAGGTAAAGTTCTCTTTGACGGCTTCTTCTTTCTCTCTCTTTTTAAATTATTTATTTATTTGTTTGTTTGTTTATTCATTCACTCATTCATTCATTCATTTATTTTGGTGCAATAGGAACAAGGCCAACAACCAAGATGAAGAATTGTTGAAAGTTTGAGGAAGATGAACCAGTCATCTAAGAGTGTGGAGGGTGAGAGTGTGAGGACAGGATAGTGTGATTGCTGACCGGAATGGGGAGCTCACTTGAGGTGTGTAGTCATGAACAGGTGACTCGGTGGCTGTGTGCTTCTCTGTAGCCATATTCTGGTATAAGGGGGGCACAATCAGGGGAAGCTGGAGTTGGATTTAATCTTCATTGTAATATAATAAAATCAAAAGAAGAATGAACGTGATTGACCTTATAATTCAACCATCTATAAAAGTAAGTAAACACATGAAGAAGGAATAGACAATGAAAAGGTGGTGGGAATACCTCAGTGGGGCAAATGTTGGTGGTGGAATACCAAAGGCAGTGAGATGGAAAGAGAAGATGCAGTGGTCAGAGAGCAAGATGCTTGAGGTTCAGACTACAGCAAGATTGCTGTTACTGGCAATGACGATGTGACTGATGTAAAGTGGAGAACACCATCACTGGGGCAATGTATCAAGGAACTGAGACGCCAGTGTACTAGAAAGACCATTAATGTGGATATTGAATTCCTGAGAGTTATGACAAGAGGAGTACTGGAGGAAATGACAGTGAGCCACCAGCTAAAGCCCTTAAGAAATTAAGGGAGTGATCCAGGAAACACTAAGAACTGCGATGATGAAACTGATAGGATTATTAATGAGATTTACAAGTAGGGGTTTGCAGGCTCTCCTAAAAGAAAGAAGATGCCAACTGATCTTGATTATTTTTTAGGGTATTTTTTTCTTTTCCAATGTCTTTTGAAAATAAAGTCTGATTTTATGAAAATTTCAAAGCCTCTATTCCATCAGAAAGCTGGAAATAAACTCAGCTTTCTGCTGTAATCACTGCTGTCTGAATTTCTCAGCCAATAACATTTTAAGAAACAATATCCTCTGTTCTAACAGCAGCTTCCCACCTTTCATGGCTCATGGGGACACAGAGTTGTGGCAGCAAAATTCAACTATTAAGATATCTATTTAAAGCTAATTTTGATATTTGATTATGACTTCTCACATATTCTGGCACAGAGAGTTATCTATAGGAAAAGCTATTTCTTGTTGCATTTTTAAGCCAATAGGTTACATTTCTGAAAACTTATACCAGTCCTTAAGTAAATATTGTTTACCATTCACGTTTAACAGTAAAATTAAAACCTGAATATTTTACTGAGACTCACAGGAAGAAATTTCCTCTTGCATTCTTCTGGGACCTTCCCTGCTGCTCCACGAGCTACCAACATCCTTATGTATCAGAAGATCTGAATTTCCAGAGCTGTTTGTGTATACCATGCACTCAGGATTTCCAAATGCTATATATGCAGTAAACAGCTAGCTGTTTGTTGGCTTTTAATCAGAGGAAATGTTCATTAAGGAATTACCTGAAAATTTTCACTCAGAAACAGAGAAAAGGAGGCCAAAGAAGTAATTTATCAACTAGTAAGTCAAAACGTGGTGGCCATAATTAGCACAGAGAAGGTAAAGTAGACCACACTTAAACTCCTTTAACTTAACTTTAAAAAGAATAAGAGAGGTAGAAGAAATAGAAATAACAGAAGAAAATACACAAAGAAAGGGCAATAGGCATTAGAAATGTGTATAAAAAATAAGAATTAAAATTTGTAAATTGTTCTGGCAATTCTTAAATAGATGAAGAAAATTTTATTTTATTTTTTTGCATTATAATTTCCTAACTTCCTTATCTTCTTTCTAAGGTTGTCCTCATTGGTTTGATTCTAATGAACATTATGAAATAAAACTTCATTAATTCATTACTGAAGAAATATAAATTATTGAAAAGTTCAAATTTGATCATAAACACATAGTTTTATTATTTAAATTACAGAAATAATTTTGACCTGCTCACAGGAAGATCAGAATTGCAAAGGAACGTAGACATGATTTGGACCAATGCTTCCATTTTTTTAATGAAGAATTTGAGGCCAAGAATAATGAATTTTCCATTACCTCTACACTTATTCAAAATTTCATCTTATGGTTAATATATACAGAAGTGTTAACACTTGCAATTGACTCTTCTCTGTACATTTTTAATTGCGAAAATACTCTCTTAACAGGTACCTAATAAGCTCAGAAAAAAACAGCAAATAGATATTTTCTGTTCTAATTTTTCTTTATTGAAAGATGTAAATATTTAAGTTCAACAATTGTCATAGATGTTGTGTTTTTGCCTTCATTCAAGAAAACTTCAAAAATAGTTAACAAAATTCACCAAGCAATTTGTCTTTATTACATTTTTAAAATTGTTTCATCAAATTTAGATGCTGCAACATTGTTTGACTTTCTTCCTTTTCCTGCATTATGTAAATTTATCCATTTAAAAATTGAAGCCTTATTAATCTGCACAAAGGATGATATCTCAAGTTGAATTATAGTTTCAGAGTTAAATGACATATAAGGTTTGAACTCTTTCCCATTTTCGTAGGGATAAATTTCAATATCTTTCTGCTTGCAAGCTTTGTTTTCAGTATGTAAAGTTTGCTAACTGTTTTGAGAACTAAAGTTCTATCACTATTCATTGATATTTGTCTGAGGACTTTAAAATAGTCTTGAATAAAATGCAACCAAGTTTAGTGGACTCTACCACAAAGTTCAACACTAATGGAGGACAGACACAGTTTTGGTTGACAAAATTGTTCTTCAAAGGCTCATGCATTTCTAAAATCTGTTTGATGTCTGGCAGCAAAACGTACTTTTTGATGTCTAGTAATGGAATTTCGATGTATCCTTTTGTATTTATCATCTTCACAACAAACCATTTTCTAGATAATTTACAACTCTATAAAATATTTTTCAGTTTTGACAATATACCTCTTTGAATGCTATCATTAAGTATGTCTAACAAAAATAATCTCAAGCAATTTCTCTGTCACTAGTTTCTTAATGTAGAAAGATCGCTGCTTTTATCACTATGCTGTAATCTACCAAAATTCGTATTCATAATATCTTTAAAAACCAAACATAATTTAATCTTCAATATTAAACTTTTTAATTGACACGGTAGTATCAGATGTTTCACACTTGATGGGATGGGCTGTTAAAAAATTACTTTTGATTTCATGAATTGGAAGAAAATGTTGACCTAAGCTTAGTATTACCTGATTATTTTTTATTTGGAGCATTAACTGACACTGAGATAAAACTAGTATCTTTTAACTGATCATAGAGGCCTTCAGCTCATAGAACCAGCACATTAGTAGCTATTGTTTCACCTTCTGTCTGTGTACAAGAAAATTCTAATAGGTAAATAAGTGAAATGAACTTAGAAGGGTCTTTTAATCTAAATAAATTTAAATTTCAGAGAGTCCATGAGCCTTCTGTAGTTGCATGTGTTAATTGTCCCCTTTGAGCAGTCTTCTTAAGATGAGTCCAGACTTGAAATAGATACTGCTGCTTCTTCAGCATTTATTTTTCTCTGTTTTTTTGTGCAATCAGTGATATCACTTACCTCCCCCCCACCCTGTGAATAATGTAGATTAATAAACATCTTATGCAAGTTATGTATTTGGCATAAATTTTCCTGGAAAAAAATTAACACTTAGTTTATTGAAAAGGCATTTATTAATTTGGGGGTGTTCATTGATACAAATTAGCTGCCTGATGATTTTATGCATCTTACAGACTATTGCATAGGCCAAGGCGAGGCTTCCTAGTATGCCATGTGCTTATCAGGTGCCATTATGTTAGATGATCTCCCAACATTTTCTATCTAGAAGGAATTAGCTGTCCTTAGACACTGATTGTCTCAGCACACGTTATTTTAACAGAGTTAAAATTAATGCTGTGTCCTTTCTCTGAAAGGGAGAAGTTAGCTGTATTTCGTCTACTGTGTCTGAAAGGGATGTAGATAGGTTGTGTGTGGGGGCAGGGGAAACAGAAACCATTATGTATGGGCATCTTTTATATTTAACTTTGTGTTAAAGGGAGAGCTCTGTAAGGGCCAAGGGAAAACTCTCCCTTCACCACCTGACGGTTAGCAGAAAATCAGCCGACAAAAAGGATTAGTAGGAGAAAAGACATAACAGATTTTATTTTAATTTGCTGGGGCTGGGGGATCACAGGAGAGTAATTATCCCATAACCCAAGTGGCAATGGGGTGTAGGAGCTTATATACCCTCCTTCAAAGGGGAGAGGTAGATAGGAGGGTGTAGGAGTTAATAATTTTCATGGCAAATGAATGAACTGAAAGAGTAATGGCCTGGGACCAGGTTTCTCTGAGCTCTGGGGAAGGCAGAGACACAGGTAAAGGGAGGAAACAAGTGAGGCAAAGGTACTGTTGTGCAGGTGGAGGTATCTCAGGTAATCTCAGAGCTGCCCTCAGAAGGAATCGATGGTAGACAAGGGAGGAGAACCTCAGAGAAAGCCTGCGTGTTTGTCTCACCAACACAGATTTTTCTCTGCAGATGTAAATGTTCCCTACAAAAGGCAGCTTTTTAGCTATTCTTGTTTTTTCCAGCCCCTCTGAAGAGTTATCTTGAAATATGTCAAAGAAATATATTTTGGGCTAAAACAGTTTGCTTTCCTTCACCTCTCTTTACTGCACATGCATCTCTCATGCTACTGCAAGAGAGCCTGGCAGAAGCTGTAAGCACAAAATTGGGGTTTACCAAACCTAACCAGTATATTTTAACACCACTACTAATAATATTTTATGGAGCATAAAAAATTAGATAAACAACCAGGACCTATAGTGACAGTACTTTTTGAGCAAATCTTCCTTGTGAGCTCCACCACCCTCCACTCCCATCTAACTGAGTTGTTTCCAAACTTTCAGGCTGAGTTTCTTTAAAAATATATGCAAAATAATCCCATGCTAAACTGATAATTTTCTTTGGGTGGCACATATAAATATTCATGCTTAGTTAATCAATATTACCTCTTTCTCATAGTTAAAATCTTTGCTGTAGAAAGATACTATGCATCTTCCCTGTGTATTTCTGAAACTTGAAAGGACCTAGACAAGTTTTCTTTTATTTAGATTGTATCTTATCATTGGCATAGCTTCAACAATATGGATTCTCTGGCACCACCTCAATTTTATTAAATCCAGTGTCCCACCTAGGCATCTGTAATTTTTAAAAGACCCACAGGCAACCCTGATGTGTAAAGACAAAGACTGCTTCATCCTGCCTTCTGAAATGTAAATCTGTGCAGGTTATGATTTTAGTTTTGTTGTTGCTAAAACAAAGGGAGAACACACCCAAGGAATGAATTTATTACGATTTGTGGATACTGGAGTGCCTGGAATGTTTGAAAATTATGACTTAAATGGTATTAGAGCTGTGATATTTCAAAAAGAAGGCACAACCCACAAGAGAAAACTGTCAATGCTTGCTTATTTTGCTATTTTTCTCTAATTGTATCTTTGAGCAGGGGAGGAGTGTAAGTTGTTATGTGTTGAGAAGAAAGGGTGATAAAACTAGCATGAGATTTGAAAAAAATCTCTAATAATGAATAGAACATGATCTGCTCATTTCCTTTCACTGAGGCAGGCTTAAGATGGAGTTCAGCCTGCTTCCATAAAGTTGCTGAGAATCATGTCCTCAAAAACATTTTAAGATTCTAAAAGCCAAACTAGTTTCTGTGTTTTCCATCTTTCCTCGGGATTTTGGGGGCTATGAATATGAGAAAATAGAGAGGAGGCATTGAAAAGCGTGCTCATTTTCTAACCACTGTTACTCTTCTTAATAAATCACATTACTGTACACTGTAATGTATGTCACACCTTCAAGAATTCCACCCCATGGCTCTATTGCGGATTCCACACTGAATAGCTAAATTATATGTCACCAGTAAATAGAAATTTGAGAGCCTCTAAAAACAATAATGTGAGCTGGTAATGTTAAATATATGTGAAGGGTTCATATACTTTTGTGATTAATTGAACATCTGATACACAATTACGTATTTAAGTGCTGCTGAATAACATAGCCCTGAGATGATCAGGTTAAGGTTAACCAAAATGATTAGAAGGAATGAGATGATAGAGAAGCAAATGACACAACAAATGAAGCTACAGTAATGAACAATTCTAGAGAAAATTGACAAATTAAGTACAGGGAGCGGCTTCTTTCAGATATATGGTAATCCCGTAAATAAACCTAGGGCATGACCACTATTAGAAGGTTTAAAAATTCTGAACTCGTTCATCTTGTCAACTCTTCCGTTAACTAAAATACTTATCATGTGAACTTTATTTTGTAGTTTGTAGCATCAAATTGAAAGGGAAATATTTGAACTTAAATTCCTGGGCCTATACTTCTAAAGATTTGCCTTGGGTATGTGACATCACAGAATGGAGAAACATCATGGCTTCAGAGAGTGTGAATTTTCTTTTGGCCACTTAATATGCTTTACCGGTTTGCACAAGTTATTTAACCTGTCTCGGACTCAGAATTCTCTTCCATAAAAGGGTGCTAACAGAACCCAATTCACATTTAGAGGCTAAATGAAGTAATGCTGGTAGAGTACTACTCAATAAACAAACGTTCCATCCCTCTCTCTAGTCTTCCTTATGGTAGATTAGCAAAACTGAGTATCTTCACCATGATTCACAGTCAGTTTGCATCTTTTCATTAGAAGTGGTGGGTAATTGATGAATCCTATTTTTAGTGCTTTTCCTCCAGAGAGAGAGACAGAGTCCTCCCAGTCAAGAGTAAGCATAAATTGCATGGCATCACTCAAGATTAATTTACAACATTAATAATAGTTACATGATCTGTCACCATGCGTTAGTGCTCTGCAAGAGAAAGCTGGACTGGAAAATTACCAGGGTTGAAGGTGAAGAAAAAGTGCTCTGGTTAATGCACAGAGACCCTAGGAACACTACCTTTCTGGAAACCACTTCCACTTTCAAAGGCCTGGAAATTGGTAGCTTGAAAATATCTTTATTCCTAAAAGAAAACCATTCACAATTATAGTGAGGGAAGCTGAGAGAGAAAAGAGATAATTAATAAATTTGAGTTTACTCAAAGAAAACTGAACTTCCCCTTAAAAGGATTTTTATCATTTTTGAATTATTTCCATTATTAAACTCAATTTTAGGCCACTCCTATAAAATCACATATATTCAGGCATATGTGTGTATATTTGCGCATCATACCTGGGGAAAGCATTAAACTATTCAGCCATACTAAAAATCTATTTAAAGATTTGTTAAAAATCTCTTTTCTATGCTATAACGAAATGATGTGACCTACAGACTGGAGAAGAGTCAGTAGTAGGTAGAATCTGGATCTGGAGAATTTTCACACTGTAAGTTTAATCATTTCAAGCCAGCAGAGGGCTCCCTGCCTTAACATGATTCTACATATGCAAAGTCAGGCAAGAATTGCTGTAAAGGACAAAAGCAGAATTTAATATTTGTTATGGGCTTAAGTATTTGCTCTAACTCTGTGTTAAATTAAGAAATATAAAAACACGAATGAAGGAAAGCCAAACCCCACTTCTGACTCTTAAAAATGTAACTTGCTAATTTTTCCATTATGTAAACAACTTAATCTTCCTCTGCTGTTCCACTTTGAAAAATAAATATACTACGACCTATCATGAGTCCACATAGACACCTACAGTCTGATTCTTTTCATAGTTTCACATTTTTCTCTGTTTAAAGCTTAAATAACATATTTATAAAATGAGTTTATCCAACGGATCAGTCTCTATGTAATCACTATGTTAATCAGTGATTAACACAGGCAAAGCTCCATAAAGCAGAGCATTAATTCACTTAGTATTTGCAACTTTGATTATTTAAATTGTAACTTGAAATCTAAGAAATATTGGAGTGGGGAAGAAAAAACATTTTTAAATGTCTTTCAGTCCTCCTTCTTTGGACTTTATCCTGCTTATTCCTGTCGATTCCCTCCCAATAAAACATTTGGCACAGTTTTACAATCTCAATGAAGTATAGACACATAACACCTCAGGCAATTTTATTTAGAGAATTTTGTTCACATTATTGTGACAATTTTAAATAACACAGATTTACTGCTTGCTTCTCAATCTGCCAGAACAAATTGACCAAATATATTAGATATATGTATCACAAATTAACCTGTTGAACAAGCTAATTTTGACAAATTCTGTTTATTTTTATTTCAGCGAAGTCTCTTCTGTAAAGTAGCTTAGGTCATGTGATTTTCAAATTTAAATGCAGCCTTAGGCAGACAACTAACATAGTATATTTTTATGGCTACAAAAATATATCTAAGCACAACTTTGTATACATCAAAGGGAATGCTGTTGTCAAGTCAAAGCAAAGGCAATTTTTATTCAATTTTACTGTTTTTAAGTTTTCCTCTTTCCTTTTTTATACTCATTGTCTTAGATGCTACAGTGAATATAACACCATTATATTTCAAATCATTTGTTTTCAACTATAGCAATAACTAAAAGTAACCGCAACTAACTTTAATTTTAATAGAAAACAACAAATGTGAAAAACAAACACGAGTAAATAAGTACATTTACCTTTCATTGAAGAAATGGTTCATTACACATTATATAAGACAATTTTATTTCCACATTCAATGATTATATATTGTGGCTGTGGACAATTGATTAAAACAAGAGAATTGTGTACAAACTTAGGTTATTTCCAAGGACTGGAGACAAGCTGTTTCATACTTCTTACTCCCCAGAAAGCAATGCCAATGGAAAAAAAAATCTGAAGAAATAAAACACAAAGAAGAAAAACAAAACTGAGTCAATATATTTGTTCAACTGAGTTAAAAATATCTTCCTAGGGGAAAATGAACATAAACATTTTAGAAAGTTAAATTATTTAAATTGAATCTAGCAGTTGTTCACTGGTAGAACATGGAACAGTTTAATTTGAAACATGTTACGTGAAGACAGAAGTGGGAGTAAAAAATTTTGTTTCTGTGGCTTTTTTCTTATACTCACAAATCTCAGTCATTTCCAGGGATGGGGCCATATGAGTATAAGTTAGATGTTGAATGAAATAGAACTTTCTTCTGGCATTTGGGGATACTGCATGTTGTTATGTACTATATTAAATGATCCCAGTTTAAGAAGCCTTTGGAATAGAACAAGTAAAAATATTGTTAAAGAATCATTCCTCTCTGTGGCAATATGGTCTATGAACTTCACCCAACATGAATTAAATTCGAAATGCTGCTGCTGACTTATCTTTTGATCTCATCAGGTATAAAACTGTAACTGCAAAATTCTCTTTAAAACTGAAGACAGAACTGAGCCATAATAAGCAGCCTCAAGAGTGCATTGAGTTTGCTTGATCCGTGAACTGGTCATGGTCTTTGTACCATCAGGTTTTTCCCAAGAGAACCCTTCCCCTTGCTCTTACTGATGCACTAAAAATTAAGCTGTCACATTGCTTTCATGATTTCCATTTTAGGTGGTTGAGTACTAGAATGAAGATAAAAGAGAGTGATGCCCAAACAGCTGGAATTATTGAGATACCTGTTTGAAAGTTTCTCCATATTTGTTCTTATGGTGCAAACTTCCTTTCCAAATTATTAAAATATGACCAGTTGCCTCTCACCAGGAAGATGATCACTACTCCTGGAAGATCCATTAAAATATACAAAGAAAATATGTTTAAGTAATAAGATAGAGGCCTGGAAGCATTCTGGGGTGAGGGACTGAGGGGAAGCCAAGGACATTAATGAGGCCAGCCATTCATTCACAAAAGATATCCTGAACTGTGCTGATTTTGCTATTAAAGCCTGAATAAGAAGAAAAATAAAAGAAAAGAAAAAAAAACCCCACCACATAAATAAATAAATCATCACAAACATTAATATTTAGATTTAGCAGTGGATTGTTCAGTTTCCTATAAATCTTCTGGTTCTTTCTAGAGAAACATTATCCTTCACGTCAGCCAGTCTGATAGTTTTCTTCAAATCCATGCAATTCCTTTCAGCCTATAACACCCACAATATGAAAAAAATACTAAAAATAAAATCGGTAGTTATATTGAAGCAGAAGTCAAGAACAATATTAACTTTCTGAAGTTGCCTCAGAGGTCAAATACAATATATTTAAAGGCTGGTTTTGATATTGTTTCTTTTGACTGAATTCAAGAGAAATGACCTCATGAGATTTCTCATGATGGTGCCAGGTAAAATAATGCCAAGTTTGGGGGAATATTTGTGAAAGCTCTAGTCCTGTGTGATGAGTTGCGTTTGTCTATGAAGATGGGTTAATGTTGACAAAGGGACAGCTGAGAAGACAGCTGTGTCAAGTGGGACAGAGGTGACAAATCTATAATACCAGAGTAAATAATTTGGATCAAGAAACTAATAGGTACCTCGTGTTGTGCAAGATACTGAAATCTGAAGTATACTTGGCCATAGAAGTTTTCATTGGTTTTCAATCTGGTGTCTATGGTTGCAAGGATTATCTCAATGCAGGAAGGCTGAGGAGAATTACTTCAGTGAAACCTTGAAAGCTGTATGTAAACTTTTGTGAATGTGTCATAATTACCCTATTTCCCATTTTCCAAAGTAGGGATAGTCTCCCCTAGACTATCTGTACTTTCTTCTGGATTCCCAGTGGTATACCAAAAAGGAGAGTGAAAGAGATTACCATTCTAGTTTGTGTCTTTGTTGTTAATCCACCACTTCATAACTAAACCTGACTACCTTTGAAACTGTAATTCAAGTCCTATTTCACCTAGGACCCATCCTTAACTAAATCTCAAAGATCTTCCCTGTTCCAATTACCTAAATACATGTAGCTCCCTACCAAGAATGCAATGTTGCAGTTTGCAGTTTTATTTTGCTTGTTTTTTCATGTGTTTTAGACTCCTATGTATTGTCCCTCCAAGTAGATGTAAAACTGATGAAGCACAGGGGCCAGAATCATCCTGCGTTAACTGCAGTGGAGACCGTTGCTGAGAACAGGTACTATCCTAGGTTTGGACGATTGGTATCCAGTTCATCGATAAAACAATAGGAACTCAAAATTTATGTGGCTTACCAAGGAATCACAGAACTGCTAAATATCAGAGCTGAAATGGTGTTTTACATTAACTTAATGTCCCCCAGAAAATCCAACTGCACAGCCTAGGAAGTTTGTTCGATGGATATGAATACCATAGTGAATTCATTACCTTTTTCGTAGTAATCATCAGGATTTGCTGGTGAATTTTTGAGTCAGTAACTACTAAATTTCTGAGACCTTTTCACAATTAATATTTTAAGCATGAAAATTGGAGTTTTTATACATAATGAAATCTATATTGGCACAAGATCATAGAAATTAAATAAAATGAATATGTCCTAAAAATACGTATGACCCTGAAATATTTACCCTGTTCCACTAGAAAATATTTAAATACAAGAAAACAGATTTGCCTTTATATTTTTGAATATGTGTATGTGTATATATATTATATACAAAATAGATTTAAATATATGTTGCATATATAATTTTAAGTCAGGAAATTAACATGAACTAAATATAACCACTTCAGTATTGTTGTCATTCCATTTTAAAATTTCCCTTTAACTGCTCTCTTGACTTTTGTATTAAGCTGTTCATTTTAAATCTCCATAGTTGAATAGATTAAATGTGCTGATTTAGGTAATAGTTCATTAACATATTTCTCAATCATCTGTTTGTTAACTGTAGTCAAAATTCTTACTTAGGCTATTAGAATAATAAATGGAAACTGTAGCATTTTTTGTTTGTTTGTTTTGCAGTATTTTTCTCTAATCTACAGATATGCTGCTCCTGGATACATACAAACTCAATGCACATTTATTTTATCCTAGGTCTGGGCAAGTCCCATGATTTTAACAGCTGGATTCAAAATATGAAGCAGAGGAAGTTCATTCTTAGTGTCAAACCCTCCTTGTGCTAACACATCATTAGTGGCCCTTGTCTTCAAGCTATTTTCTTGACTTTCCAGAGACCTAAACTTTGAACTCTGGCCTGTACAGATGCATGAACTCTGGCCTGTACAGATGCATGAATCTATGTTTCCTCCACCTCTTTCCAAAATGTTCATCAATTGGCAGGTGGCTAATCTGAGCCACTAATCCATGTTAAAACACTCAAGGGAACTGGTGTTATTCTGCTGCTCCTCCCAGTTATGTCTGTGTTTTAAAAGGCCTTATTCTAAATGACTCCAATGGTGAGCAATTCAGGCACCTAATATCGTAAAAGAAAGAGAATAGTATCAGAAGAGGTATTTGTGTGCATGTGGCAGGTCCTCACATTGTAAACCCTCAAATTACAAAGCTAGTGGATTTGTCTTGCACCTATGTGCATATCTGTCTCGGCTGGTTTGAATCCACTTACTATATTTATTAATGAATGACTTGATGAGTACAGAACAACAAATAGCACCTTGAGCAGTGGACAATTTCAATTACAACTGGCTAGCGACATCCAACAGTCTTTACGAAGGTGATAAAATAAGACGTCTCAAATAAATCATTTAACTTTTAAATAAACTTGCAAGTAAAATTAAAGCTTTAAAGTACTTGAAGAATTATTCACAAGAGAAACAAAATCTCTGAAATAGCTAAAATTTATTTTGTTTCCCAAATGTGCATTTACTGTCACAAATATTCAAATAGAAAACATTAACTTGGATAAATCTCATTTAATTTTATGGCTATTGGCAGCAGCAGTATAACTATGTACACATAACTGAATCACTAATAAGTTGAATGAACATATTAAATGAGCTAAGTCATATTGTGATGGGTAAGATTGCTTATTACACTTTGCCAAGGAAAAAAATCCAGTTATTTTAAATATGAAATTGCATTTTTGTGAAGACTTGAGACTTAATCACTTTACAAAAAATTAAAAAATTATTATCATTTACTAAATTGTGTGAGTTTTCAGCCAAATTTAGATATCTGTGTCAATTTCCTGAAGTTCCCCTGAAATGAACGTACTTATTTTGTATCCCTAACAAATCATATACTGGCTCTAAATAGAAGAGTACACTTTCACCTAAAAATTATTTCTCTGACACGGACGAGGTTCATAAAATACCAGTTAATTGGCTATTTAACAGAACTATAACAACCACAACAGCAAGAATTTGTTTTAATGAAAACCCAATAAAAAAAATGGAGAAAAGTAAAACCAATCTTTTGTTAAATACATTTTTTAACACAATGTTTTGGTTTTTGTACAGATGACCATTCTCTGCTGTACCAAACAGGGATCAAACCTGAATTGCTACAAATTATCTTTAGTTCCTATTAATTCAAGAGAACAAATAAGCACAAACAGAACTACAGGAAAAGTTGAAGTCAAATGTACTGAAGTTTCTTTTAAAATGAAACCATCAGAAAGATATTAGGTAATAATATATTTTTTTCCTAGAATTTTGCAAGAACCCAGTTTGACAAATGCCAACTCAAAAGAAATTGAGAACTATTAATTTTATTTTTAGTATATTCTATATATGACCAAAAACATTTAGTCATCTGCAAAGAAAAACAAGTCTTAGAGAAATAATTTCTAGACACAGCACCTACTCTTTAGAAGTCTTGTGTTCTCTCTTTGTGTTTATTTTTATACCCTGTTCAAAAGAGGATACAATCACAGTTATGTTTAATATGAAGTCTTGCAAGGATTTATTATTATTTAGATTTTAAATCAAACATTATTATTTTACATTAGCTTTTAAATATATATTAAACTTCTTAGCTTAGA